AACCCTAACCCTAACCCTAGGAAGGTTGAGCATCCCCTGGCCTAACCCTAACCCTAACCCTAACCCTAGGAAGGTTGAGCATCCCCTGGCCTAACCCTAACCCTAACCCTAACCCTAGGAAGGTTGAGCATCCCCTGGCCTTTCCACCTTTTCTCATGCCCTCAAGCAACAGATCCGAGTTTGCGCAATAGCGCGTCATCATATCGCAATCGGGCTTCGATGCCGAGCCAGGCCCCTGACCAGGGAGTCGATCTGATGAACCACCAAGCGGGGGATTTTTGTCCCCTGCTAACCCTCTCTTGAACATCTGCTTCATCTTTCCACCAAGTTCTAAACTGCGAATATTGGCTTGGCTCCAAAATTGTAGGCACAAAACTTTCCAATCATGAGGAATTAGTCCGTGTTCATTTGCTAATTTTGCATGAATCCAATCACACAGGTTGATCGCATACCATAGGCCATGACAGCCTGCGTTAAATCTCTAATAACCTTGAATGCCGGAGGTTGGGGTTCCCACTGTACAGACCCCTGGGGAAATTGAGCATTTGGGGGGTGCTGTTGGACCACCACAGGAAAATACCCAAAGGAGCAGGATAAGCTTCAGGGTCGCCCCTGAATAAAAGCGTGAGATATCATACTTTTATCAAGTTTTATGGGGGCTTCCCTTTTCTCCTCATATGGAGGAGCAGAAGGGTCAAAAGATGGCGGTAGGGGCTGAATTTTTGTGACCCGAGATGGAGGGACTACAGAGGTAGAGACCTCCATTTTTTTCAGCCAATTTAGAAAGCAGTTGTGATAACTGCCTCACCTCGGTTTACAGCTCACGTACCTCATTCTTACTTTCATTCTACATTCCATCTGAGGGTCCTCCAAATCCTCAGATTCCGAGGAGATGGTTTGCAGATGCTATAAATGTCCTTTTAGGACCCAGTTTGTCAGACTTATTCCCCCTACAGAACATCAAGAAATTTAAAGAACCAACACCCTCAGTATGCCGGAGAGCACCTTCACGTAGGAGGTCTTGAGGGGGTACAACCTTAGCATAACTATGCACCACAGAGGCCCCCTGCTCTATTTGTGTCTTTTCTATGCTAGCATTTGGCAGTTGAGGGCAAAGGAGACAGAGGTCTTAAAAGGTCTCCTCTGCAGATTTATATTTGTGTGGAAGTTGTTTAAGCTTAGCAATATCGGCATCTGACACTGACCTTTTCAAATATTTCTTAAGACTCTTCCGAGTCAATTGCAATGGTTCCAAAGTTAAGGAAATTAAATTACAAAGAGACCACATATCAAGAGGAATTGGGGGCTGGTGAGATGGCTCAGTGGTCTAAAGCACCTACTTAGAACAAGCTAAGCTAAACAAAGCACAGGGACCGCGGTTCAATCCCCCAGCACCACATGCCAGCCAGCCCCACCCCCTGGAGGGCTGAGCAGGCCACACACACACAATAAATAAATAAATAAAAAAAAAAAATATTAAAAAAAAAAAAAAAAGCCTGTTAAAACTTTAAAAAAAAAAAAGAGGAATTGGTTCTGCATTTTGGCACGCATGTCGCAGAATTTTGTTGTTGTTGTTGTTGTGGCACTGGGGATTGAACTCAGGCCCTATTGAGTTATCTCCCCAGCCTCTTCACAGAGCTTTCATAACTCGCTTCCAAACTTTTAAACTTAAAGCAGCCCTTCCTGGCCGGGGAGAGAGCGCAGTGGAATAAGCACTTGCCTGGCAAGAGCAGGGTCCTGAGTTCAATCCCTGGTTCTACAAAAAAATAAAGCAGCCTTTCCTTAGGGCCTGAATCAGTAGCAATGCCGCCAGAGCAATGTTTTAGTTTCATTTTTACTCCTGTTCCCTTGAGCAGCATCCATCCGAGTAAGACAGACATATTCATTTTCTATTGCATATTTCCATTACCCCGAGCTTCTGCCGCTGGTCTCCCCTCCTCTGGGCGTACTGTACCCCAACAGTCCAACCTGTTTTATACTTGCAATCAGTCCTCTCTTTTCCGCCCCATGTCTAGGCGCCATGTCTGCATATATCCCAAAATGGGCTTGTGCGTGATGTTTGTAATACAAGAATTTTTGTTTTGGAAAGAAAAACTGACTTTCCAACTGTTTTGGAAAGTCAACTGATAAAAAATGTTTATTGAGAGTAACATGCCAAGCGATGCCCCCAGACCAGCTGGGAGGTGCGAGAGAGGCTGCCCACGCTCAAGCGGGTGACATCCCCGTACTTGTCATCCTGCCCAGCAGGGGAGGCCCAGGGCACAGCTTGTGGAAGGCAGGCTCTGGGGCGGGCCTGGGTGTCTCACCGGCTCCTATGCGAAGGTCAGTGTGTCCTGCACCCCAACAGCTGTGTCAGTGTCATGGAAGGTGGCACAGGAAGTCATGCAGAGGCAAGGCCACCACGCCCGATAGCGAGATCCCCAGGGTGTCAGAGATACAGGTGGCCGCCATGGCAAATTCGCGGTGCTCATCACTGGTCTGGGGGCAGAGAGCAGAGGTGAGGCTTCGGGCTGAAGGTCACAGGCCTGGACCACCTGCCCCCCAGGACATCCCCGTTTGCCAGGGGCACTGACCTCCAGGGCAATGTTGTGGAAGGTGTTCACGTAGGCCGCACCCCCCAGGAGCCCCTCATACACAATGATCAGGAAGACGAGGTATATGCTCGGCAGGAAGTCCAGCAACACAGCCAACAGCAGGAAGGCCAAGTTGAGACTCTGTGGGCAGTTGAAGGGCAGGGCTGAGGGAGGGTGGGAGGCTGCACATCTCATCCAGCAACCCCTGGATCTGGGGGACACTGACCAAACCCCAACATTGGCTGGGCCACGAGCACCGCAGAGCCTCCTCCTCCTCCTCCTCCTCCTCCTCCTCCTCACTTGTTGCTGTTCTACGGTCCCTCACTTGGCCTTCTACCTCCATGGGGGCCATGCCCACCATATGACCTCACTGCCTGCTTTCAAGGGCTCCTGGATTAAGCATTCTTCTCTCCCTCGTTCTCCTGGGTGAGACTAGTGAGCTCAGGGACATTTGGCAATGTCAGGAAGTATCACTGCTACACACGGTGGGTAGGAGCCAGGGACACTTATGCACAGGGCAGCGCCACACGGGCATGACCTGGCCCCGTGCGACAAAAGGAGCAAGGCTGAGCAGGGCGTGGTGACACACACCTGCAATCCCAGAACTCAGGAGGCTGGGGCAGGAGGATCGCTGCAAGTTTGAGGCCAACCTGGGATACAAAGTGAGTTCCAGGCCAGCCTGAACTGCACAGTGAAACCCTTGTCTTAAAAAGAGTAGCAAGACTTGAGAAACCCTGGTTTAGAGGCTTTCTCCCTTTTGGAAGCTTCCTTGATGTCCCACCGAGGGTATAGATCCCTCCTTGGTGCCAAGAGCACTGTGTGGCTTCCCCAGCATACAGGCCACTACCTGGGGGATCACACAGGTCACGTCCTCAAGAACCATCCGGAGACTTTGTTAAACATACCACCTAGGCCTGCCCCTGACAGGTCCTAAAGCAGGAAGTCTGAGGTACGCTCAGAGATCTACATGGGGAAGAACATGACCTAGTAATAGTGCTATGAGGGCAAGACCCTGCAACCACTGTGGCTTTGGGTCAAGTACTTCCTGTAAAAGCAATAAATGTGACAGCCCTAATGCTGGGGGCAGCCTTGGTTGAGCTGGTACCTGAAACCATAAGCGACGCGTTTCGGCGTCACCTAAAAGAACTGGCAATGGTTGGCAGCACAATTTACAACACAGTTGCGACTTTGTGTGTATAAGCCCTGGGCTGGCAGCAATGGTCATTTTAAGGAAGGTGAGAAAATATTTACATACTCTTGCCATGACATCATAGTGTTAACTAAGCCAGGCACGGTGGCACACGCCTGTCATCCCAGCCCTCAGGAGGCTGAGACAGGAGGGATCGCAGCGAGTCTGAGGCCAGCCTGGGTAGCATAGCGAGCTCAAAACCAGCCTGAACAATCTATCTGGGCGCAGCAGAACATGCCTGCAATCTCAGCTACCCAGAGGGCTGAGGCAGGAGGACTGGGCGTCAAGGCCAACCTGAACTGCTTAGTAAGCCCAGGTTCTCAAGAGGAGGTAAGACAAAGGGCTGGGCTATAGCTCAGAACTCGCTGGGCTCCGTCTCCATCATGTGTGCGTGCACACGTGTGCGTGCCGTTTCTTACTTCCTCTTAGTTACAAAACTGAGGAATTGAGTTCCTAGGTAGGTGTGGCAGTGCACAGCCTAATCCTACCACTCTGGGACCCACAGGCAGGAGGACCAACAGCTGGAGCCCAGCACAGGCAACTCAGCAAGACCATGTTGCAGGGGCCTGGGAGATGGCTCAGTAGAGTAAGCGCTTCCTTGGCAAGCACAAGGGCCTGAGTTCAATCCCCCGTTCAGAAAAAAAACAAAACAAAACAAAAAAAAACATGTTGCAAAATGGGTGGGAGATTTCCAGACTAGGAATACTTAGCCTGTAGTTGAAGGTTTATTTCATTTTTTTTTTTTTTTTTTTTTTTTTTTGGCAGAACCAGGGATTGAACTCAGGGCCTTTATTCTACTGAGCTATCTCCCTGGCCCCTGAAGGTTTATTTCAACAGCTACCTTCATCCACAAACTGCAGAAGCTATGGCTGCAGTGTGGGTCTCGTGGAACTCCTGTTAGATTACTGTGGAGAATGGTATTTGTGGGCTACAAAGTATAGACTGCTGTAGGACAAGGGAAGTTTCAGAATTTCCTTGGCTACAATGTCACTGATTCTATTTTGGTTCTTTTTGAGACAGGGTCTCACTACTCAGGCTGGCCTCAAACTCACAGTAATCCTCCTGCCTCAGCCTCCCGAGTACTGGGATCACAGGTGTGCGCCACTGTGCCAGCCTGGTTATTCATTTGTATATATATATGCATACCTATCTATCAATCAATCACCCATCCAGATTTGTAGTGCTGCAGAAGACACCCAGGGCCCTGTGCATGCTAAGCCAGTAAGCTCGTCTCTAGTCCCTGACCTCTGTTTTGGTTTACTGTTCGCAGTGCTCAGGATTAAGGCCCCACCCATGCACGCTAGGCAGGCACTCTGCCACTCCCACGCCCGCTTTATAGTTGGGGCAATGGAGGATTGGAGTGTGCAGTCCTGCCCCAGTCACACAGCTATCGGAGTGAAATGAAACATTTGCAGGTAGGACTGTGCAGCTCCTGAAGGTGCGAAGAACACACGCAGAGCTGGTCTCAGTCGTCCCCCTGGCTTAGAAATGTGTGTATGAAGCTGTGAACCAAGGTGGAGCGGAGCATCAGGCGGGGCGAAATACCTGCAGCAGGGCCAGCACCCAGGTGAAGCGGATGTGACAGCAGCGGAGAGAGGAGCGAGAGGCAAAGACGCCGGCCTGGTACAGCATCTGGTACCTGAGGCAGGGAGCAGGAAGCAGGAGGAAGCGCCTCTGGGCGTCACCTCAGGTCGGGCCACTGCCACCTGCCCCCAGCCCTCACTCCTCTCACCAGCGGTACTGTTGAGGGTGACTCAGGGATGTGTTCCGGAAAAACAGGAGCTCAAACTGCAACGGACCAGACAGGAAAAACACATCACGTGGACACGCGGGTCCCCGGCCGCCTCGCGCCGCCTGTGCCCCCCTCAGCACCCCTCACTCACAAGTCCCTGGTTGATGAAGTACTCGGCGAAGTAGACCAGCACCAAGGGGATGATGTAGCACAGCAGGCCCTGGAGGGGTCAGAAGGAATGAGCAAAAGGCCGGAGACAGCCGCTGACCACAGGCGCGCACAGCCGCCGTCCACACCTTGAACACTGTCCACCTTTCCTGCAGGGAGAGGTTCCAGCCGGCGCCTGTGGGGAGCAGGAAGGGGGTGCGGATGGAACGGGCACACGGAAGACCAGTCCTAGATGGCCCTGGCCAAGAAGCACCTCGCTGACACAACACCGTGAACACGCTCAAAGGCCGCGGGTCTGCACACTTAAAAGGGGTTAAGATGGTAAACTTCATGGGATGTAGACTTCACGTAGTTCAGTGGTAGGGTGGTTTGCCTAGTGTGCATGGGGCTCTAGGGTCACTCCTCCCACTGACAAAAATCAATCAATCAATCAAAGCAGTTAACCAGGTGAGATCTCTCCATCCCTCTTACATAGCTCAACAGATGGCCAGTGCCCCCTTCCCCCAGCCACGCTGGCTCTTCTGTTTCTAGGGCATCCAAGCTCATTTCTACCACAAGGCCTTAGCACGTGCTATTCCTGTCTGAAACCTCCTCACCCAGAAGTTCCCAAAGGTTACTGCTTGACAGTCAAGTTCTGGTCCAAATATCACCTCCTTCAGAAGGTCTTAGAACTGGCCAAATAGCTCAGTGGATTAAAGCACCTGCAAGTAGGCGCAGGGGCCAGGGGTTCAATCCCTGGGGTGCACTGAGATGGCAACTGAGACTGGGCATGGTGGTACGCCTATAATTCCAGCTCTTGGGAGGCTGTAAACAGGCAGATCACTACAAGTCTGATCTAGTAGTGAGACACTGAACACTGTAGACCCTTCCCTAAACACACACACACACACACACACACACACACACACACACACGCACACACAGAGGGTGTTCTCTGTAGGTGATGAAACTCCTAGCCTCTCCCCACTCCCCTCAACTGTCATACTACTTTCACACCCTTCCAGAGCTTATCTGACTCTGAGAATGATTTCTCTCTGACCCACTGATTGGCTCGTGAACTTCACCTTGGCACCGCCATTCCCCAGCCAGGCCCCCGAGTGGCTCTCAGCCAGACCAATGCTCTGACTTGAACCAGCTCCCTCCGCCCCCCAGTCCACTGCAGAGAGGAACAGACTAAAACCTGGAGGAAAGAATCGGGGAGTGGGGGGTGGGGGGTGGGAGCCTCCTACCTGGCCCTGGGGCTCCTGTGCCTAAGAGGGGCTGCCGGGCTATGCTCTCTGCCTCATCTTCCCCACCAGGGTCCTGAGGCTTGGGCGCCGTGAGCAACAGGAAGTAGCTGGCATGAACAGAATGAAGAGTCAGGGACCCGAAGGGCCACTCCCTGCCCCGCCGCCCCCACTTTTGCCTGCTTCCAGTGGCCGGCAGCTCATGGTGCCTGAGCAGCCTGGCCTGGCCTCGAGAGGCCCAACTGCGGGCAGATCCTGCCTGGCTTGGAGTCAAAGTCTGTCTCCCTCCTTGTTCTTACCAGGCCCTGTCTGACTGCTGGCTCACACCTAGGGGCCAGCTGTTTTCTTATTGTTCTACCAGACACTCCGGCTTCCCCTACACTCTTCTGATACATAAATATTTTACTAAATATTTTCTTTCCACTGACTCCCCTTTTCTGCCTGGCACTGTCTTAGACCTAAGCCACAATCTGTGACTGGCTGGTTAAAATCATTTCCTAACGCCCATGAAAATACAGCATGGGCGTGAAGCCCATCCCTGCCCAACCCCAGATCATCTCAGCCACACATCTGTGGAGCACTTCCCGCTCACAGGAAAGCAAGGGCAACCACTGCCATTTGAGATACAGGGAAACGGGGGTCAGAGAGGTCCAGGGCCACTACAGCTAACAGGTGGCAGCTCCGGGATTGGAATCTAGGGCTGTTGTGAGTCCAGAATCCCTCCCCTGCCACAACAAGGCCAGAAGGATCTGCAGACTGGGATCACGAAGGCGTTCTCCTTACTCCCGTCCCCTCCATCCCACCAGGGCCACTCACCTGGCCAGCAGTAGGCCAGGGATCCCCAGCATAGAGAGCAGGGTGTGCTGAGGAGAGAGGCCAGCCTGGGTGAGGCCCAGGTAGGACAGTGCTCCCAGCAGCCCTGCGCCACCTGTGCCCGAGGACCACCAGGAGATCACTGCCCTGGGAAGGAGAAAGCAGACACACTCAGCAGGGGCAGGGTTAGGAGGAAGGGGAAGAAGAAAGGGAATGGGGAGGGGAGGGGAGGGGAGAAGGAAGAGGAGCTCTCTCATCCCTTCCCACCTGCTCACCTGGGGTAGAAGGCAGTGAGCGAGAGGAAGGTGACCTCCCCAAGACCTGAGGAGATGCTGGCCAGGACCACACCTGGGAGGAGGACAAATGTGGAGGTGGCCTTTCCCCAATAGTTCCAGGCCCTCAAGGACTCTGACCATGGCCTTCTCTGCACTGGCTCAGAGGGCTGAGAGAGGACTCCCTGGGAAGGCCAGGTCCAGATCAGAACTGGGGCCAACTCCTCTTCCTACTTCTTGCACAGAATGATCCCTCGGCCCACCCGTTCTCCATCCAAGAGCAGGTCTCCCGAGAGCCCTTCCGCCTCCACCCTGCTTCCATCCATTTATTACCCCCACTGCTCCTTCCAGGCTGCCCTGTCTCCCAGCTCCTATACAGGGCAGCCTTCACAGCCCTCTGCGGGCCACTGAAATAATCCCTTTCCTTTCAGAAGCTGGGGAGACCACCCCCCACCATCACTGAGGCCAACGACCCTGATATAGAACTTTACACCCACCGCACAGGCTGGTCCCCACGGAGTGGGAAAAGGCAACCAGGATGAAGCTTCCGGCAGAACAAGCCCCACTGATGAGAACCCGAGGGCTGGGGGTGAGAGAAGGGTGAGCGGCTCGGCCTCGGGGCTCCACTCCCCGGCGTCTCGCCCACTCCCTTCCCCTCCCAGCTGCCCCCCTCAGGACCAGACCTGTAGGGCAGCAGATGCAGGCCCAGAGGAGCCAGCAATTTGATGACCAGGGTGGGGAGGATGTCTGCCAGGAGCACCGCCTGGGACAGAAGGAAAAGATGTGACCCCAGACCATCCCTGAGACAACTCTCCCAGCCAAGAGGCAGAGGAAAGGCAGCAACAAACACAGGCCTTGGTATCCTTTCACCATGTGCCAAAGAACTGACTCTCTCTGAACCTCAGTTTCCTCATCTGGGAAATGGGGGTCCTACAATGCTTAGCTCACAAGAGCAGCGTGGGAGACGTGAGTTAGCTGATGCCGCTCACGGTGGCAATCTCTATAATCACAGCCACAGCTGGCAGGCTGGGTGTGAGGGGCTGGGGATGGAAATGTCTTGCTCCCGGGGAGCCAGTGGCGGACTCACAGCCGTGGAGACAGAGTTGCAGTCAAATCGAGATGAGCTGTTGTGAGGCATGGCCGTTGGCTCTGGGTCCACCTGAGGGGAGAAAATGATGTCTTTCTTCTAGGGAGGCAGGAAGGGGACAAGGCCCCAGTCACAGCTGCTTAACTTGAAGGATGGCTTCGAGTCAGCCCTGCCGTAGATTAGCCACATCAACCCTCCGCATCCTTTTCCTGGGGGGCTTGGCAGTGAACCCACGGCTTCACACATGCTCGGCCAGTGTGCGGTCACTAAGCTAGGTCCCCAGCCTCCCAGCCCCTTGCAGTTTGTCAACCCAATGCCCAAAGATCTCCTAAACCTCTTCCTGCCCTTAAACCAGGCGCAGTGGCACACGCCTGTAAGCCCAACATTTGGGAGGCTGAGGCGGGAGGATCCTTGGGAGTTCCAAACCAGCCTGGACTACAAAGTGAGCTCAAGGCCAGCCTGAGTTGCATAGTGAGATCCTGTCTCAAAAAGACCAAAAAATCTTTCTTCCCTAGGGGTCTGGGAGGTGAGCAACTTTAGCCCCCTGCCCCACTGATTGGCCACCTCACTCTATGAAGTTTTTTTTTTTTTTTTTTTTAATATGAAGTTTTTAAGGCGTCTTCCACCTCAGGTGAAACCATCTCTCCCCACAGAAACCAACCTCGGTGGTGGTGTGGCAGCGAGGGGCTGACTTACATGGCTCTGGTTCCCAGACGCCCTCTCCTGTCTCAGGATGTCGTGGGCAGCACTGAGCATCACCACATAAGAGAAGTTGTTGCAAAGGCCCAGGATCCTGGAATGAGGCAGGCAGACCCTCACTTGGTGTCAGGCCACCGTCTATGCAGAGCCCGTGTGGGTCCCCCTAACCTGCGTCCTCCAATCAGCTTCTGCTTTTTTTTCCTCTAGCACCAGATTTTAGCTTCTTTCAGCACTGAGGTTAGAAATAGAGGCTTTGGGATCACAGAATCAGGTTCACCTCCAAGTTCTGAGTCCTCCCCAGGGAGAGATCTCAGAGCTCCCACAAACAACTCTGTTCCTGGGCATTTTCCATCCACAAATACACTGTGATACAATAAAAAAAATCTTGGGGCTTAAAACCCAAAGGTTCAGGGGGCTGGAGATATAGCTCAGTAGCACAGCACATGCCTGACAAGGGCAAGGTCCTGAGTTCGATTCCTGGGACCAAAAAAAACCCCCAAAAATTAGCTGGACTTGGTGGTGAATGCCTGTAATCCCAGCGCTCAGGATGTTGAGGCAGGAGGTTCATTGTGAGTTCAAGACCAGCCTGCACTACAAAGTGGGTTCATGGCCAGACTGAGCTGCGTAAGATGCTGTCTCAAAAGAAGGAAAAAAAAAATCAAAAAAACCACACACACACACACAAAACCCACGAAGGTTCAAGTTCCAAACCTGCTGTTTCTTATTTAAATGGCCTCAGCCTGCCTTGTGTAAAAGCTAAGGATATAATTTCTCTGCTAGCTACCACACATAGCGCCACAGGGATCAAAATGAAACCAAAGCCCTTATGATCCATAAAAGATCTTCACTTACTTTTATCTCTTAGAGCTGGGCTGAGTGGGAGGCAAGAAAGTGGGCCCCGTGTCACAGATTTCACAAGCCTGTGATGTGGCTCTTCCTACCTTACTGCTGAGGAAACTGAGGCTTAGAGAGGTTAAGTCACTTTTCCAAAGAGTCACATGGGGGCCGGGGATGTAAGTCAGGGGCACAGGCGCCTGTCTGGCAAACGCAAACTCCCGAGTTCGATTCCCAGTACCAAAACACAAAAAACGAAGAGTCACATGGGAAGCCATGTCCAACCAAAGCCTTCCACAGTTAGGCTAACACTAGAAGATTTCCTAAGACTCAGGGGACTAAATCCAGGGCCTTCACACTGAGCTACCTCCTCATTTTTTTGTATTTTTTAATTTTAAGACAGGCTCTTACTAAGTCACCAAGTGGCTGAGGCCAGATTCCCTCCTGCCCAACCAAGAGTCCTGCAACTACAGGCATGCACCCCACATCTAATCTAGGTGATCTTTCTAAAAAAGTTGTAGCACCAATGGATGTATGGATAGCACTTGGGAAATACTGGTGTTCCATTTGAAGTTGTGATTTAGACTTTCTTTTTAAACTACATGCATTATAAAATGTTACAACCTGTAGGTAAGTAACCCTGCAGGGGGTGGTCAACGTGATTAAGTCAGTAAGTACAATCTGGCAAAGTCACAGGCAGGTAGTGGACTCAGTAAACACTTGTGGCCAGGTGTGTACGCCTGGAGGATTGTTGGGAGTTCAAGACCAGCCTGGGCTACCAAGTGAGCTCAAGGTCAGCTTCAGCTGCATAGCCAGAGCCTGTCTCAAAAAAAAAACAAAAAAAAAAACCGAACTTGTTTTTTTTTTTTGTTTGTTTCGAATGCCTTCAAGGCATGACTGGCTGTCTTGTGTTGTGGGGATCGAACCACAGCAACCTGAGCCTGACTGCTTTGTTGAAGCAGCCACTTAAAGAACTGAGCTAAGGGGCAGGCCCCCCCCCAAACTTAAGTCAGCTCCTCTACACAGCTCAGTCCTTGTCTCCACCTTTCCACTTGTCACACGTATTTTGTTGGTTTCTCTGGCCACTCACCAGAAGCCCACCGCATTCTTCCACTGAGCCGCACCCCGATTCTCCAACAGAGGGGCTCGGGGCTCCGGGGCAGCCTCCTCCCCTGGAAGAGAACAGCGCATGACCCCAGACCATGGTCAGGGCCCGCGTCTTCTGGCCGAGCCAGCCTCCGAGCCCCTCCGGTGGTCACTCCAGGAGGGCGGTCCCAACACCCACCCTCAGAATCCGAAAGGTGCCGCCGCGAGCCCGCACAGCATCCCATGGCGTCCAGTTCAGGTCCCCCGATGGGTCCAAAGCCAGAGAAGGCTCAAAGTTGGCTCCAGCCTGGGGGAGGAGAGTCTGCGGCAGGTGAGAGAGACCAACGCCCCACGGTCCGCCGCAGCTCCAGCAGCCTGCCGCGATCGCGCCCCGCGATCTGTCAGCGGAGCCCCGGACCCCGCCTGGCGCCCTCCAGCCCGACCACGCCCACCGGTCGGGCTCTGCCCCCGCCCGCGTAGACAGTGCGGACCCCCTACGGCCTGTACCTTTAAGAGCGGCCCGGCGTTCCGCGCCAGGTAGCCGCCGGGCTGCTGTCACGTGAGGCAAACGCTGCTGCCCCATCACGTGACGGGCGATCCTGCCCACTTCCGGGTCTTCCTTCGGTCTCCGCGTTGGACCTTCTCAGTTTTGGTGCATGAAAAAGAGGCCAGCACAACCACTGATTTTACACTTGAGAGGGAGGGAGCAGCAAAGCAGCGCCTTGATTAGCCGCTTCACGGCCGCGACAGGCTCCTGCCGTCACGGCCTGCGCGGCTTCAGCCCGTCTCCCAGCAGCCTCGCTTGCCAGAAACAAATATGGCCGCATGCCCAGTCTCTCCGACCAGACCAGTTCTAGCTAGGAACAAAGGGTCATCCACGCGACATTCGTAGTCTTATCTGCCGCCCTAAGAAATTGTTTGAAAAATGTAAAACAAAGACCACACCTGCCCAATAATTCTAGACGTTAAGTACCCCCTTCCCCAATCATCCTGTCGCCAAACCAAAACAAACCAACCAAAACAGTGACCCAACTTTTGGTTGTACAGATGAAAAAATAGTAAGATTCAACAAAATCGGACCTAGAAGTGACCTCAGAGACGAATTTAGCGTTAAGAAAATAGAGCAGTAGAGGCAGGGAGTCACTGAGCAGGCTGAAGCAGCAGGAGTGCTTAGATTAGATTTCTTTGATGCCTAAAATTCTAATTCTATGCTCTCTTAGGAAAGTGAAGTCCACTCCACATAATCCAAATAAGGAGTCATTCCCTTACCTTCTGCAGGTGGCAGAGCAGCATCGGGACTCCTCTTCGTTATGACCTTTGCCTGCGGAACAGCTACTGCATCCAAAAGCCTGTGCCCAAGTCTACTAGCCCACCATCCGGCCTTCAGTGCGGTGTGTTGCCCAGGGCACTCAACCAATGAGAACAGGGAGCCTGCTTCATACCCCTGCAGGGCTCTAGCCGTGTTTCAAGCCTGGCCTCTGCGCCCAAGGAACTCACAGTAGGAGGTGCACACAACCACAACACAAAGTTCAGCCAAGTTCTGTTGCAGAGGAAGGAGCCTCGGAACCACCGACCCAGCTCCTTTGTGCCCTTAGGGGATGATTAATGATAGGAAAATGGAAACCAGAGCTCCCACCAGCCCCCTCCTCAGTCTTCCTGGTCCACAGGCAAAACAGGAAGCAGAAACCCCAGCTTCCTCTCACAGAGTCCCTGTGGCCTGGGGGAGACGGAAATGGCAGTTGTGGCTGCCCCCAGGCCCCAGTGTCAAGACCTGAGTCACTGGGGCTTCCATTGCACTTGCACTCTCCCTCATCCCCTTGTCTGAGATTTCCCACCCACTGCTTTTTCTTCCCAGCATCCCTCACTTCCCTGGAGCTCCAAATATGCAACAGAGGCCCCTGGGAAATGCATACCCATTGCTTTGCCTGAGGCGGAGATTGCTGTGGACCTAGGGGAGGTGGGCAGGGCCTAGGTTAGCCCTGTGTCAGGGAGGGGCAGGGGAAGAGGAAGTATCTTTAGGTCCTGGGGAAGACTGGCTTGTCTAGGTGGGTTGGGACAATCATTAGCAGCTTTCTGGACGCACAGAGACAAGATGGAGTTCCTCCGGCAACACCTCCCTGGGCTACATCAAGCCTTAAGGGGGGCACTGGTGAGAGGCAGAAATGCCAGGCTTTCACCCTCATTCTTTGTGGACTCATCTTTTCTGCTTTGAGCCTCGCCTCAGATTCCTTTCCTAGGGCCAGACAGACTCCTAACCTAGCCTTTTGGCTGGTTTCAATACTCCACTTCCACAAATGGATCCCCACACCCCTAGTCTGGGTCTTTTTGTGTTCCCTCTGGACATTCCTCTTCTCCCTCTCAGATCCCAGAGTCCTCTTCTTTATCTAGGGCTCTTCTGGCCCAGGGCCCCAGGGAAAGCACCGGCTCTCCTCTGAATGCCTTTGCCCCCTCCCTTTTTTCTTCTAGGATTCCCTCAGCACCTTTGTCTCCTACCTCATGGGTGATGCGGTCCCCACTGTAGAGAGGGAGGCACAGGAACTAGGAGAGGTGGCTGAAGGAAAGGCAGGGAAGATTGTAGAGGAGAAGAAAGCCCAGGAGTCCCTGCACAGCCTTAGAGGTGGCCACAGTGAGGGAGCTGAAGCGCCAAGAGGGCCTGGAGAGGCAGGAGGAGGTGAGGAGGACAGCTCAGCTGCAGAACAGGTCTGGGGGTGGGGAGAAGGCAGCTCCTGTGGGTCCCAAGCAGGTAGGCAGGACTCTGGGGCAGGCAGGGGCCCAGAGCCGAGTGTTCTCTTAGAGGCTGAGAAGACCTCTGAGGCAGGGTCTGGGACTCACAGAGACAGGAGCAGTGAGGCCAAGGAAAGACAAGCAGCTGAAGAGCAGGAAGTGAACAGAGGGGAGACGCTGAGAACCTGGGAACAGGAGGAGGAGGAAGAGGAGGAAGAGGTCAGGGCAAGAGAGCCTGGGATGGCCAGAGGGGTGGAGTCAGAGCTGCCCTGGCACAGGGAGCCCAAGGAGAAGGCCAGTGCTGAGAGGGAGGAGGAGGTGGCTGTGCACTGTGGGGAGACATGGCCGGAGGTCAGGGAAGCAGTTGCAGAAGCTGAGGTGTCTGGAGCCCAAGGGCCCTGGAAAGTGGAAGGGGAGGTAGTGGCAGTGAAAGCTGGCCAAAGCATAGGGCTGCAAGGGACCCAGGACCCAGGGCCAGAGTGTGAAGATTGGATAACCTTGCATAAGGAGGAGGCCTGGGCAACCTTAGTCAAGGAGGTGGACAGGGCAGCCTCAGATAGAGAGGAAGCTGACCTCTCAGGAGTCAGGGAGATGGAAGATGGGCTAGTCCCAGGAGATAGGCTCTCAGAAGCTACTAGTAGTATCAGGACCCTAGAGGAGGCCTTCAACAGAGAGCAGGAAGAGGAGCTGGATGAGAAGACAGAGGATGAAGTGCAGGCTCTCCCCAAACAGCCCTGGGCCCTGGTTACTGAAGCAACAGAAGATGCAGCTGAGAACCAGAAGGCAAAGATGGAGGCTGCAGGAGCCCCGGAGCCAGGGGTGGAGGCAGGGGAGCTCTCGGAGGGTCAGACAGGTCCGTGTGGGAAAGAGGCCCAGAGCAGGCAGAGCCCAGAGGTCAAGGCTGATGGTGCCAGGCTGCAGGAGGCCCCAGCAGAAGAGCCTCCAGAAAAGAAAGAGAGGTGCTGGGCCCCAGAGGCTGAGCTGGCCCTGCACAAGGAGGCTGAAGCGGAGGCTGCCTCAGAAGCAGGCCTGGAGGCCATGCCCAAGGAGGAGTTCATGTGGGTAAAGGGCCAGGAGGGTCAGATGAGCCAAGAAACACTGAGGGTGGAGTGGGTTGTCCCTGAAAAGCAGGGGCCCGAGCTGGCGGGAGATGCCCCAGGGCCAACAGGTCTGCTGAAAGGACAGGGGTGTCAGGAGGAGCACAGGCCAGGTCCAAGCCTGAGCAAAGAGGAGACAGAAGCAGGGGTGGCGGAACAGCCCCAACACATGGGGTCTGTCCCTCCTGAAGTCCTTGAGGCTGCAGACTGGAAGATCTGGTACAGAGGGGACACAGAGAGCAAAACTACCCAGGAGGATAAAGCAGATGCTGAAGAGGAGGCTGCAGGAGACCAGGCCTTGGAGGCCGAGGTCAAAGGAGGCTGGGAGTCTGAACTGCCAGAGGTTCTGGTGTGTGGAGTAGAGGAGAAAGAGGACTCTGTAGTGGAGAACCAGGAGCTGCAGGCAGACCAAGGGACAGAGGCAGGGCCAAGCCCGGCACTGGGAGAGTCAGAGACCAAAGATACTGAGGACAGGGTGGTGGGGGTCACTGTGCCTTGGGAGGCAGACGGCTCACCCAGGGAAGGTGGGAGGCTGGAGGAGGCAGCGCTGAGGCTCCAGGACCAAGAGGTCGCACAGACCAGCCCTTTGACTACAGAGGTAGTAGAGGCCCAGGCCATCCTAGCTGGGGAAGGCCAGGAAGAAGAGGGTGGAGAGGCTAGGAGAGGCTGGGACTCTGAAGAGAGAGAAGAGGCTGGGGGAGCTGCACTGTTGGAAGACGAGACTGAAGAGTGGCATGTGAGAGGGCAGGGGGAGGACAGTGACAGGCAGCACGGGGACCGCCATCCTGAGGGAGAGGCACAGAAGCCGCTGGATGTGGACGATGTGGCGGCAACTGGTGACCAGTGCACAGAGGCCAAGGGGACTTCTCTAGAAGACCTGGAGGATATCCAGGACCAGGAGGGGTGGCCAACACTCCAGCCTCCTGTAGAGATGGCACCTGGGTCCTCTGAGACTGCAGAGGCCCTGGGAAGTGACAAAGTGGACACTCACAGCAGCTGGAGTGAGGTGAGGGCTCTGGAGTGGATCAGGGAGGGGCAGGACCTGGAAACCAGTACCACAGGGCTCCATGTCTCCTTTGCTGCAGGCCCTGCTCCCTGGCTCCCGCCTGGATGTCTCTGCCTTGCGAGACCGTGCGCTTCTGCAGCGAAGCTCCTGGAAGCGTCGTTCACGGCCCTCTTTCTGGAGGACATCTTCCCCGGAGCAGCAGGAGGACCCTCCCAGTCCACCACCTGAGGAGGTGCTGTCCACCCCTCAGCAGCAGGAAGACCTTCCCAGTCCACCACCTGAGGAGGTGCTGTCCACCCCTGAGCGGGAACCTCTACAGCTAGAGGAAGCCCCTGAGGCAAGTCCTTCACAGTCTGGAGGGTCCCCAGAGCCAGTCAAGAAAAAGTTCCGGGGACAAGGGTAAGCATCAGGCACTGAACTTTGATTGAGGAGGAGGAGTAAGAGGAGGAGGAGGAGGAAGAGGAGAGGGAAGCTACGGGCTCCCACTTCCACAAGTCTGTCTCTCCCACAGGTTTGGCCTGGCACACCCTGGCATGATGCAGGAGTTGCAAGCCAGGCTGGTCCAGCGGAAACCCCAGTGACAAGAGTTGCTGTCCCTCTGAAAGCCTGCCCTGCGTGAGGCTCAGGAGCCTCCAGGAGCCCTACCTCTGCTGGCTCTCTCTGCCACCTGCACCCTTTCCACTGTCTGAGCCTCACTTCTTGGTGTCTCATCCATGGAGTGGACAAGACCAGAATGTCTGTGAAGACCTTGGACTTCGGGGATCTGACTCTAGTGCAGGCTGGTGGACCCTATGCCTCTGAAAACTCTGCTCCAGGGACCCTTGCCCTGCTCACCTCAGCCTGGCCTAGCGGTTCAGAAGATAGCACAGAGGACTGGGGATGGAGTCTGTTCTCCATAGTCTTCCCTCTGCACCCAAGCCTCCAGAGAGCTGCAGGTTGAAACACACTCTTCCCTTCAGCAAAAAGAAAGTGGTTCACAGGCTGAAGGGCACCAGATGGAAGCCAAGGTTGAGGGGTAGTAGGCCAGCAGCCTTGACTTTCCAAAATCATATAGCTCAGCCCCAGGACTCTGATGGTTACTATGGCAACCGAGCTGGTCAGTCAGAGAAGATGGACCAGAATCCTCCGATGTCAGAGCAGTGAGGGATTCTGGGTAGCCAGAGGCTACCAACTCCACTGTAGCCATGCTGCCCCTTGGGCATCAAGGACCTCTTCTGTGACAAGATGCTAAAGCAGAGAGAAGGTGAGAAGGTTTTATTAGGCACCCAGCACAGTGGCCCAGTCTGAGGATGAAACAATAAATAAATCATCTCCTAAACAATAAATAAATATTCAAGAAATAAATATTTGCCATGGACTGGAGGGGCTTTAAATTATTGGGTAGGGGGTGGGGCTGCGGCTGATACAACTTCTGCCTGGTCTGAGGCAGATGAGCTGGTGGTTGTCCTCTGGCCAGGACCAGGTCCTGAAGTCCTCAAGGGTGAGGGAAGGGGACTAGAAGGTCACCCCATCAGAACTGGGAGCCAGACCTGGGTGCCCAGCCTTGGACAGCAGCAGCAAGTCCCGTACAGCCCGGGATAGGACCAGCTCCAGGGAGTGCAGCAGCTGGTAGGTGTAGAGCAGCTGAGGCCAGGACTCCTGTGCCCCTGGGAGCAGCCCCGTTCCCTCCTCCTCATCCTCTTCTGCCCCTGCAAGGTCGAATCCTGCAGCCAGCCCCTGTGAGGAGAGACTTAGATCAGGCTGAGGCCTGGCAGCAGTGCAGCAACCCGTCATTCCGTTCTTGAGCCCAGCTCTCCTATTGGCTCAAGCGGATTGCAGCTGCCCTGGAGAAGATTGGAGAAGATGGGGTCCAAGGATTCCTCTGCCTTTAAGGATGGTCTCAAATGGGATCAGAAATGAGCAGAGGGGTGACTGAGCTCTAGTTTCCATTTTTTTTTGGTGGAACCAGGGCTTGAACTCAGGCCCTTGCGCTTGCCAGGGAAGCGCTTATTCTACTGAGCCATCTCCCCGGCCCTGTTGCTTGCATTTTCTATTCTCCTTTTTGATAAAACTTATGTTGCCCTTTGGACTTTTTTTTTTTTTTTAATACAGGTTCTCCCTACACAGTTCAGATCAGACTCATAGTGATCCTCCTGTCTCAGCACACACACACACACACACACACACACACACACACACACATCCTATCCCTGGGATTATAGGCCAGCGCCACCATGCCAGGTTCCAGGCCTAACCAGCATGTGATATCAGGAATTGAACCCCGGTCCTTGCACTTACCAGGCAGGTGCTTAGACCCCGAGCTAGCTCCCCAGCCCTCTATTGCCCTTTGAAATATTCAGGAGAATCTGAGCGAGGAGGGGGGAGCCCATCTATCTGTAGACCCTGCTGCTGCCAGAGGCTGTCCTGGGTACTTCAATTTCTCATTAAGGAGGAACCCTTAAGAGTAGGCAGAGACTTGGGAGGCAGAGCCAAGGCCTGGTACACCTACACACACACATGCGTGATCTTAGTGGGGGGACCTGAAAGGGGGCCAGGGCACCACAGTTGCGTGTGTTCCCCTCTTGAGGGCTGAGACGGGGCGCGCACCTGGAAGTGGAGGTGCCGCTGCAGGTCTCGGAGATCAAGCCTCACTGTCCACAGCTGCATCCTCTCTGAGCTGGTCCAGCGCCCCTGGCTTCCCAGCCTTCTCAGCAGGGCGTGAAAGGGCTGAAGAGTCGTGGAGAGGAAGCAGAGTCGCTCTGGGTCCTGTTGAGGGGAGGAGAAGAGTCAGAAAAGATGGCCAGGCCAGCAGTGACCCCACCAAACCCACCCCTCTCTCCATGTCCTACTCCAAGCTCTAAGCTCCTCTCCATCCTCACGATTGTTCCCAAGCCTATGTCCACCCCTCCCTTCCACGCTCATCGCTCTTCCCTCCATCCTGTCTCTGCCCTCTGTCCCATCTCTTAGGCACAGCACCAAGTTCTCTAGTGTGAACCCCGCCCCCATCGCTCTACATCTATGCCCCCCTCCACCACCCCTGCCTGGCTTCCACAGGCTTCTTTCTCTCCAAACTCTCTCCCACCACATTCCTATGCTTTTCTTCTTCCCTTTCTTTTTCATTCTTCTTGGGCTGGGGAAATAGCTCAGTAGAATAAGCACTTGCCTGGCAAGTGCAAGGTCCTGAGTTCAATCCCCGGTACCGCCAAAAAAAATCCATTTGTTAGGGCCAGGCCAAATAGCTCAGCGGACTAACGTGCCTGCAAGCAGGCGCAGGGGCTGGGAGTTTTCATTCCCAGGCCTGCCAGGGCAAGTTGAAATGGCAATTGAGACTGGGTGTGGTGGCCTGCGCCTGTAATCCCAGCACTTGGGAAGCTGTAAACAGGAGGATCACAAGTCCAATCTGTGTAGTGAGACCCTGAACAACCTGTAGACCCTTCCCTAAAAATACACAAAATAAATAAATAAGAGCAGTTTACAGGCTGTTCTTTGATCTTTCTTTCCCTCCTTTCTTTCACTCCCCTTTTCTTTTTTTCTTTTCTTTTTCTTTCTTTCTTTCTTTTTTTTTTTTTTTGCAAACCGGGGATTGAATTTAGGTCCTTGAGCTTGCCAAGGAAGCCCTTATTCCACTGAGCCATCTCCCTGGCCCCCTCCCCCTTTTCTTTCTTCTGGTACTGATATTGGACCCAGAGCCTTTGGATGCGAACTACATCCTGGCTCTTTTTTATTTTGTATCCTGAGGCGGGGTCTCCCTGGGTCACCGAGTTGCCCAGGCCGGCCTCCGGTGCCCCCGCTTTGGCATTACAGACGTGTGCGTGGCGCCCAGCCTCTGTCTTATTCTTCATCTCCGGCTCCTTCCCCTCCGTATTCTGACTCAGCCTCACACCTTTGCACCCCACTCCATCTATGCCCCATCCCTGCTCCATTCTCTACCTGACTCCCCCATCCCCAAACCCCTTCTCATCCTGCCTATCCCCCTTCCCATCTTTAATGCCACCTCTGCTCTTCCTTTATGCACCCCCATTCTTTCATACCCCACCTCCTTCCCAGCCCAGCGTCCCTTACCTCCTTCCTGACCCCATTTTGGAATCCCAGCTTTCGCACACCATCCCCAAGTCGCTGTCCTTTCCACTGTCCACTGACTCCCACCTACCACCCACCGCCCGTGTCCCAAGCAGCTCGCTAGCTCCCTGTCACTCACAGAGAGGCGGCGCCAGGCCTGGAAGGTCAGGGACATGTTGGGGAGCTGCAGTTGAGAGGGCAGGAGATCCAGGTGCACTCCAGGCAGGTGTGATTCAGCCTGAGGGGCATGAGGGACGTTAGCGGGGTGGGATGGGGGAGGAATCGGGTGGGGGCTCCCCATGGCAGGGCCAGCTCCACTGGGGGACTCACAAAGTGGTGGGCCTGGGCTTGAACCTCCGCAAGCAGCTTCCTGGCAAGATGCAGGCTGATGGTAAACTCTGCACGCAGCTCCTGCGCACTCAGGGTGGGCCTCCCTGGTGGCCTCGGGAATCCCCAGACGCTGGTTTGTACCAGGAGCAAGGTGCGTAGCAGCAGGCTGAGCTCTGGAAAGAGGAGGAGGGGAAGAGGCAGAGGGCTTCAGCCCAAAGCACTCCTGTAAACCCAGCACTTGGGAGGCTGAGGCAGGAGGATTGCTGGGAGGGTGAGTGTGCAACCGGCCTGGGCTACACAGTGAGCTGGAGGCCAGCCTGCAATAGTAAGGCTCTGTCTAAAGAAACGAAAAGCAAGAAAAACAGAAATGAGGAGGGCTTGAGAAACATTCCCGAAAGGAAGGAGCTGGGCGCTATGGTGCACACCTATAATCGCAGCACTTGAGAGGCTGAGGCGGGAGGATCATTGCAAGTTAGAGACCAGCCTGGGCTACAAAGTGAGCTCAAGGCCACTCTGAACTACACAGTGAGATCTTGTTTCAAAAAGAAAATAAAAAGAATCACGGAGAGGGAAGGTGACCTGTCTTTCCCAAGCCTGGGCAGTGCGTAAGCTCTATGCAGTCACTTCCACAGGCATCTTCAGAGTGCCCCTTCAGAACGGCGATGGAGACCACATCTGGACAAAGTGCCCACCTTCGCGGGCAGAGCTGTGGCTGGCTCTGGACCCCCACAACTCACTGGGCCACATGCCTTTTCAGTGTACAACCTGAACAGCAACGCGCACAGCTGCCTGTTCACTCTTTTTCTCCCCATTTTTCAGAAGAGGAAAATGGGACTCAGGGAAGTGGCCAGCCAGACTTGTCTAGTGACAGAGGCCATGTGCTCTCCTCAGGACACTCAGAGGTAGCAGCCACTTGTTCTAGTGGTGGGGACACTCTGTACTGCCAGGAATTCCTTGGACTCAGCCAGGCTGCTTTGATGCTTTGAACTGGCCCCCCAGGCCCCAGGGGCAGTGTGGTTGATGGGCCCAACCTTCTCTAAGGCAGGTGGCTCAGACTGCATTGGGGCCTCTGGGACAAATCCCACAGTTTAGCAGTGGGAGGGCGGGCCAGCCAGAGGGGAGGAGGCCCCGTCTGCCAGGCAGAAGCTCTGTTCTTTATCTTGGTCTTCCCTGAGCAAATGCCTCTTATCTCTGTGCCTCAGGCCCCATCTATAAATTGGGGACTATCTTGTTCATTTGTTTTTTGAGACTGGGTCTTACTATGTAGCCCAGGCTGGCCTCAAACTCACAGAGGCCTTTGTACCTCAGCCCCCCCCCCCCAGTGCGGCGATTACGGGTGTGTGCCATCACGCAGTTAGACTGCCTAACTTCTGAGGGTGCTTCAAGCCCTCTGTTTTCCTGGAAAGAGGAAAGAGGGGCTGTGGGGGTGGCAGCTCTGGGAAGTGAGAAGTGTTCAGTGGCTTCTTCCTTGGAGTGGTGAGGAAATCTAGCAATCACGGACGTTACACAATTCTCCCCGAAACCCAAAGCAAAACTGCCCCCCAAGCCCCTCTGACTCTCGCTCCCCTCCAGGCCCTTTCTTCCTTGTCCATTCATGATCTCTTGTCACCTGAGCTCCCCCAAAATGGCCCACAGCAGAGGTAAAGGGGAGCTTCTGGGAGCGGCCACTCTCCCCACGGATCTTGACAGGGAGTGGGCAGTGCCCAAGGTCTCCTGGGTTCGGGTGCTTGGTTTGGAAGCCACTGTGACCCTCTGGCACCCACAGACAGGGCAGAAGAAGAATGTTCCCAGCTGTGTTGGGGCAAGTGGCACCCAGGCTCTGGTGAGTGCCGCCCATCCAGATGGAGCTGTGACATTTCCTACCATCCGCCTCCCTGCCCGAGGCCTGGGTGCCGGGTCCTCCCTACTCCTGTGGCCGACCTTGGGTCTGCAGCCCTGGTCTTTGAAGGGTCCGTCCTCACCCTCAGCCCTGGGCCCTACCCACCCCTGTCACCTGTCCCCCTGCCGCCAGCACTGGGTCCAGTTCCAAGTACCTCAGCCACCAGCTGCTGGTTGGGCTCCTTCCAAATTTCAAACTAAAGACCCTTGACTCAGTTAAGGACTGGCTCCATGGCTCAGACCCCACTTGTGCCATGTCCTGCTGCTCCTCCTGTAGTTGACCTCTGCCTCAGCCTCAGCCACACTGTCTGGTCTGCAGTCTTTCCCTCCAGAACTTTCACTTAGTCCTGCTCCAGCTCAGCTCGCAGGTCCAGCCCTCCCCACTCGCACCACCCCCTACCAGCCCAGCCCAACGCTGTCACCTTGCCCCCCTCCAGCAGCCACAGGTCCTCTGTCTTGGCCAGGCTGCCGCCCCCAGCCACACCAGTGCAGCATTCCCACCCTCTGCCCAGGCTCTGCCAAGCCCCCCAGCTTCCGCCCAGCCCTGGCCTCTGACTCACGCCAACCAAGGTCGCCTGCTGTCTGGCCCATGTCAGGGCCCAGCCTGCTCTTCCAGCCATCTCCCGCGGAAGGCGAGTCTTATACTGGGGGCTGCACCCGGTTCCACTTTCCTTCCTACTTGTACTTTCAGCTTTGTATTCAATCAGTCTTCCTTCTTGCTAAAATGGGGAAATGTAGTTTCCCTTCCTGGGTGGGGTGAGGGGGCGATGGGGGTGTGGTGGGAGGCTGGGGTGTCAGTCAATCTGAGCTCCTGACTGGATGCTGAGCTCCCAGCCCCAGCGCTCCCTCCACTCCTCAGTCTTGGGGAAGCCATCCAGCTCTATCCCTGGAGGGTTCCAGATGCTCAACCCCTCATGCTTTTACGCTGGGTCACCAGCATTCATCCAAGAGCATCACCAGTCTACCGTCCTTTGCAAGATGGACTGCCAGGTAAGGGGATTGCCCGCCTGGGAGGCCTGGGGTTTTGAGTCATCTTTACTTTCTTCGGGCTTACCAGATGCCTGGCAGGGGGGTGTGGTGAGAGGGAAGTCAGTGCTCAATGGTGACTAGGATGAGTCCTTGAGCTGGGCTGGCAGGAGCTCCATATCACAGCCGGCATGGGAGCTCTCCAGGGTGGCTAAGACAAGGCCCAAGGCTCCATCTGGGGCCAAGGGCTGCGACTTTGGCCATGGTATTATAGGATTAGAGCTCTGTCTGTATCCAGGGTCAGGACTTGATTTAGGGCTGGACCCAGAGCCTTATCTGGAGCCAATAACCCTACTCTGTCTATCTGGGGCAGAGATGTCCACAACCTGGGCTTCTATTTGTGGTTGGTCAGGGTTAGGCTTAGAACTCTGTCAGCCATCTGTAGCCCAGGTTCAGACTGAGGCTGTGATCACACGAGGACTCAGGCTTGTGCTGGGCCAGGGACTCAGGTACTGGTCAGGATCGAGGCTCCCCCATCTGTGGCTGAGCTGGAGCTCATGGGGTTAGGATCTGAGCGCAGTCAGGACCCACAGCAACCCCGTGCTTCTGCCGGGCCACAGAGTCCTGCATGAGGGCTGGGCACTCAAGGACACTTCCAGCTCAGCCCCGCCCTCAGCCACACTGGATTTCCCATCTTCAGGGAGAAGATGGGAGTTTCTCGCTCTTCCCCAAGGCCTACTACTGCCACTTTCCTTTTGGGACTTGTGGGGTTTTCCTGCTGGGTCTCTGCAATGAGACAGAAACCAAGGGGGCTTCCCCTTCCTGTACCCTGCTCCTCAGCCACGCCCGCGTGCTGCCAGTAGGGCTGCCAGGCAAGAAAGTATCGGGTCTGCGTGGAGCAGTCAGAGGTCCACGGAGGGGACATGTAGGGGAGCCACTGTCCTTTGCAATCATCCAGTGCTGGTAGCTCACTTCTCCACTTCCCTGGTGGCTGAGGCTCTCCACTGTGTGTGTGTGTGTGTGTGTGTGTGTGTGTGTGTGGTATGTGCCAAGACCAACAGTGAGGACAGGCAGAGGATGGTCTCTCGTGTATTCCTAATTCTGCTCACGCCCCGGAGGCCTGGCCACCTTACCTACTACTCTACTCCTTGACCACATGGTCCTCCCTTCTGCCTGCTCCCCTGCCCCTCTCCTGCCATCACCCCAAAACTGACCTCTCCATTCCTGAACCCACTCTCGCTGTCTCTGACCACAACCCACTGGCTCTCTCTCAACTTTCTCTTGGGGATCCCCAACACCCCCATGCTGGGGCCTCCCTGCCCTTCAAGGGCTACAGCTGATCCTTTGACCCTCCCCGGTTCCAGAGTGTGTGAGGGCTGCCTCGTGCTTCTTTGCCTCTGTACAAGCTGTGCTCTCGCGGAAAGCTCGCCCCTACCTGCCTTCTGAGGATGTCCCTCTCTCCCACCTCCCCTGAGCCCGTACCGTTGTCACTGCCTTCACTTTTGAATCCTTTGTCCCTTCCAGCCACAGACCCTGTCTCAAATGGAGGTCTCACATTTTTGTACGTTGCTCGCTCTATAGACAAGCCCACTCATGCCGGAGGGCCTTCGCCTCTGCCTCCTTCTTTCTGGAACACTCTCTCAGATGTCTGCAAAGTTCATTGTGTCCTTAAACTCTCTGCTGGAGGGGGGGGGCTGGGAATGTAGCTCACCTGCCTGGCAAGTGTGAGACCCTGAGTTTGATTCCCAGTACCAAAATCAAGAGACCTCTGCTTGAACATCACCTTCCCTGAGCACTCAGTGAAGAAATGCAGCCCTCTCCCGGCACTTGCGACCCCTTCCCTGCATTATTTTGCTGCTGAGAACATCTCATCTGTCTTTGTCTGTCTCTGTGCACTACAGCATAGGTTCCCCAAGGTGCGAAGTTTGCCAGCTGCGTCTCCAGTAGCCAACAATAAGAGGATCTTGATTAATCGTTGTGAACAACACAAGGGCCTGACCCAGGTTCCTCGCATGATCATGACTGGTGACACGTGAATTGCCTGGAAGGCTGCGACAGGCCTCAGCCCTGAGGTCACTGTCAGCCTGCTGCTCCTCCTGAGGACCAGCGGCATGCTCCAGGGATACCAAGGGGGTCCCCTTGCTGCTGGGCTTGGCCTTGTGATGGAAACCGCAGGACCCCAAAGAGGGTGCTTGGAGGACCTCAGTTTCCAGAAGCAGGTCTCAGTGGGTGGGCTGTGGTTTGGGTAGGAGCCAGTGGGAAATGGAAGGGATGTGGTATGGGGCGAGAATGAGTAGAAAGGAAATGAGGAACCCTGGGCTGTAGACTCCAGCGCGTAGCCAGCCTCACGCTAACCTCAGGTGAGTCACTGGCCGGCTCGAGACCTTGGTTTCCTCAGTGAAACATGATAGTGATTTCCAAGGGCTGTCGCGATTATGTAGGGAAATTAAAACCAGGGCGTTGCAGGTTTTTTAAAAAGAAATTTCCAGGATCCTTTCCTTTTCCCTTTCCTGAGGATTGAACTCAGGACCTTTACATTGAGCTACATCCACAGCTAAAGCCTTCTTTTTTTTCATTTTATGTATTTGGTATAGGGTCTCACTACACAGCTTGGACTCATAGTAATCCTCCTGTTTTCAGCCTCCCCAGCACTGTGATTACAGGTGTGCGCCACCACAGCCAGCCTCGGTCGTGGCTCAGCACACCCCAGGGGCGGGGCCAGCATGCAGGCCCAGGGATGGAACCCTGGTCCCTGCACTTACCAAAGCAGGTGCTTAGTCCGCTGAGCTATCTCGCTGCCCCTCCTCCTGGCCCTTTATAATTTTTTATTTTGAGACAGGATCTTGCTTGGAACTTGTGATCCCCCTGCCTCTACCTCTCAGAGTTCTGGATACAGGCAGCCTGGCTAACTTTCTGGCTCTTTTCAGGGCCCACTGGGCACTCCAGGGGCTTGGTGGGAATCCCAACCTTGAGGGCAGCAAATGGTTGCTTTAGACGTGACTTCAGGATGCCCCCAGGAAGGGGAGGCCTTGCTCAAGACACGCAGCAGATCCAGCAACATGAAGCAACATGAAGGGTCAGGAAGGCCCTTGGTGAGGTCAGGAAGGC